GGAATGCTGTCCTGGCTCCCTCCTTTCCCAGATTTCGGGTTCAGGAAAAGTGGGAATGCTGTCTTGGCTCAGCCCTTTCCCAAATTTCGGGTTCAGAAAAAGCAGGAATGCTGTCCTGGCTCATCCTGGCTCCCTCCTCTCCCAGATTTGGGGTTCAGGGATGCTCGGGAATTCCATCCCAGCTCCCTCCTCCCCGGATTCTGGGAATTCCGTCCCGGCTCCCTCCTCCCCGGATTCTGGGAATTCCGTCCCGGCTCCCTCCTCCCCGGATTCTGGGAATTCCGTCCCGGCTCCCTCCTCCCCGGATCTGGGAATTCCGCCCTGGCTCCCTGCTCCCCGGATTCTGGGAATTCCGGCCCGGCTCCCTCCTGCCCGGATTCTGGGAATTCCGTCCCGGCTCCCTCCTCTCCCGGATTCTGGGAATTCCGGCCCAGCTCCCTCCTGCCCGGATTCTGGGAATTCCGTCCCGGCTCCCTCCTCCCCGGATTCTGGGAATTCCGTCCCGGCTCCCTGCTCCCGGATTTGGGGAATTCCGGCCCGGCTCTCTCCTCTCCCGGATTCTGGGAATTCTGTCCCGGCTCCCTGCTCCCCGGATTCTGGGAATTCCGTCCCGGCTCCCTGCTCCCCGGATTCCGGGAATTCCGTCCCGGCTCCCTGCTCCCCAGATTCTGGGAATTCCGTCCCGGCTCCCTCCTCCCCAGATTCTGGGAATTCCGTCCCGGCTCCCTCCTCCCTGGATTCTGGGAATTCCGGCCCAGCTCCCTGCTCCCGGGTCCGGTACCTGCCCAGCCGCTCCCGGGTGGCGATGGAATTCCGGAGCAGGCTGTCGATGCTGCGGAAGCACACGCTGCTGTCCGCCATGCTCCTGACGGCGCTGCGAAGGCGGGAAAAGCGGGACAGGGACGGAGCTGGAATTCCCAGAGTTCGGCTGCTCCCCTCCCCGATCCCGGGAAACCTCGGGCCGGAGGAGCTTGGTGCTGTGGGAAGGTGGGGAACTCCCACCAAGGCCCGAAATTCCTGCCGGGTGTTCCCAAATCCCAGCTCTTCCCGGGATCCTGCTGTGCTTTCCAGACCAGAATTCCAGGAATTTCCCTCTCAAAGTGAAAATCCCAAATCCCAGTTCATTCCCAGGATCCCGCTGTGCTTTCCAGCCCGGAATTCCAGGAATTTCCCTCTCAAAGTGAAAATCCCAAATCCCAATTCATTCCCGGGATCCTGCTCTGTTTTCCAGCCCAGAATTCCAGGAATTTCCCTCTCAAAGTGAAAATCCCAAATCCCAATTCATTCCCAGGATTCTGCTCTGTTTTCCAGCCCAGAATTCCAGGAATTTCCCTCTCAAAGTGAAAATCCCAAATCCCACCTCTTCCCAACTCATTCCCGGGATCCCGCTGTGCTTTCCAGCCTGGAATTCCAGGAATTTCCCTTTCAAAGTGAAAATCCCAAATCCCAATTCATTCCCGGGATCCTGCTCTGTTTTCCAGCCTGGAATTCCAGGAATTTCCCTCTCAAAGTCAAATTCCTGCTAAGAACTCAAAGCTCATCCCAAATCCCAGCTCATTCCCTGGATTTTCCCACCCAGAATTCCAGGAATTCCCCTCCTCCCAGGGTGCAAATCCCAAACCCCAGCCTCCCCCCAGCCCCATTCCCGGCTCCCTGGCGCGTTTTCCAGCCCGGAATTCCGGGAATTCCGGGATCCCCAGACCTGCAGGCGTACTCCACGGTGTAGATGGCTCCCTGGCTCTGCTCCTCCCAGCTCTGCATGTCCGACTGCAGGGGGGAAAACAGGGATCAGGAAAACAGGGAAAACAGGGAAAACAGGGATCAGGGAAACAGGGAAAACAGGGAATAGGGAAACAGGGAATAGGGAAACAGGGATCAGGAAAACAGGGAAAACAGGGAATAGGGAAACAGGGAAAACAGGGATCAGGGAAACAGGGAAAACAGGGAAAACAGGGAATAGGGAAACAGGGAATAGGGAAACAGGGAAAACAGGGATCAGGAAAACAGGGAAAACAGGGAATAGGGAAAACAGGGAATAGGGAAACAGGGAAAACAGGGATCAGGAAAACAGGGAAAACAGGGGAAACAGGGATCAGGGAAACAGGGATCAGGGAAAACAGGGATCAGGGAAAACAGGGATCAGGGAAAACAGGGATCAGGGAAACAGGGAAAACAGGGATCAGGAAAACAGGGAAAACAGGGAATAGGGAAACAGGGAATAGGGAAACAGGGAAAACAGGGGAAACAGGGATCAGGGAAAACAGGGATCAGGGAAAACAGGGATCAGGGAAAACAGGGATCAGGGAAACAGGGATCAGGAAAACAGGGATCAGGAAAACAGGGAAAACAGGGAATAGGGAAACAGGGAATAGGGAAACAGGGATCAGGGAAACAGGGAAAACAGGGAAAACAGGGAATAGGGAAACAGGGAATAGGGAAACAGGGATCAGGGATCAGGGAAAACAGGGATCAGGGAAACGGGGAAAACAGGGAAAACAGGGATCAGGGAAAACAGGAATCAGGGAAACAGGGAAAACAGGGATCAGGGAAACAGGGAAAACAGGGAAAACAGGGATCAGGGAAACAGGGAAAACAGGGATCAGGGAAAACAGGGAAAACAGGGATCAGGGAAAACAGGGATCAGGGAAACAGGGAAAACAGGGAATAGGGAAACAGGGATCAGGGAAACAGGGAAAACAGGGAAAACAGGGATCAGGGAAAACGGGGATCGGGGGGGTCTCCATGGGAACGGGGGTCTGGGGAGGGAATTCCATCAAAAAGCGAAAGGAGCTTTATGAGAACG